TCATTCACAGAGATAGCATGATCTTATATATAGAAAACCCTAAGGAATCCACTAAAAAAACTATTAAAAGTAGTGAGTTCAGTAAGTTTGCAGGACATAAATCAGTATAAAATAATCAACTGTATTTCTATACACTGCAGCCAACATTCAAAAAATTAACATAAGAAAGCAATTCCATTTACAACTGCATCAAAAAGAATAAAATACTTAGGAATAAACTTAACAAAAGAAGTGTAAAACTTAAACTTTGAAAATAGCAAAACTTTGTTGAAAGACATTAAAGACATAAGTAAGTGGAAAGACATCCCATGCTCATGGATTGAAAGACTTAATATTGTTAAGATGGCAAGACTCCCCAAAATGGTCTACAGATTCAATGCAATCCCTATCAAAATCTCAACTGGCTTCTTTTCAGATTAACACGCTGATCCTAAAATCCACATGCAAATGAAAGAGATCTAGAATAGCCAAAACAATCTTGAAAAAGAATAGAGTTGGAAGACTCACATGTCATGTCAAAATTATTACAAAGATACTGTACTCACGACTGGATAGTACTGCATAAGTACAGTTATAAAGACCAATGGAATAGAATTTACCTATCTGTCTTTAGTATAGAACCCATAAGTCTATGGTTAATTGATTACTGACAAGTGTACCAAGATAATTAAATGAGGAAAGAACTATCTTTTAACAATTATAATGCTAGGACATTAAAACAAAATCAATTGGGGCTCTACCTCATTTCATATAATAAAAAATTCAAAATGGATCAAAGACCTACATGTAAGAACTAAAATTATTAAACTCTTAGAAGAAAACAAATGTGTAAATCTTCATGACCTTGAATTATGCAATGTTCTCTTAAATATGACACCAAAAGCACAGGAAACAAAAGAAAAAAATAAATTCAACATGTTATCAAAAATTTTGCTTTTCAAAGGACACTATGAAAAAAAGTGAAAACCCCACAGAACTGAAGAAAGTTTTTATAAATCATCTATCTGATAAGGGGCTTACATAGAGAATATATAAAGAACTCCTAAAAATGTAGAAGAATAATCTAATTCAAAAGAGGTCAGAGAGCCTGAATAGACATTGCTTCAAAGAAAATATACAAACAGCCAATAAGCACATGAAAAAATGCTCAATATTATTATTTATGAAGGAAATGCATTTAAAACCACACTGTGAAACAACTTCACATCCACTAAGATGGCTGTAATAAAAAATACAGATGAATAACAAGTGGTGAGGAGGATGTAGAAAAACAGCGTTTCTTGTTGGAGTAATGAAAATGTTCTAAAGTTCACTGTGATGGTTGCATAACTCTATGAAAATCATTGCTTTGTGCTCTTTATTTAAATGGTGAACTAGGGCGCCTGGGTGTCTCAGTCGGTTGGGTGTCCGACTTCAGCTCAGGTCATGATCTCACGGTTCGTGGGTTCAAGCCCCACATCGGGCTCTGTGCTAACAGCTTGGAGCCTGAAGCCTGTTTCAGATTCTGTGTCTCCCTCTCTCTCTGCCCCTCCCGGGCTTTTTTCTCTGTGTGTGTGTCTCTCTCTCTATCTCTCTATATCTCTCTCAATAATGAAAAAACATAAAAAGAAATTTTTAAAAATGGTGAATGATATCTCAATAAAGCTGTTAGCAAAACCCAAACTCAAACAAGACCAAGGTAAAGTTTCTGGAGGCAAATTTGTGATTGCAGACTATTTTCTTTGGTCCTGGCTCTATTCACTGGGGCCAGCAGACAGTATTAGTGAAGAGTTGGCCAAAGCCCAAAGGAACTCTCTTCATCTGTGCTTTGCCTTGAGCAATTTATTTTTAAATAACCCTTTGTCAAATTAGACATACACAGTCTGGTTTTGCATATCCTCTCCTAGGGTTTTTGATGTTTTTATCTTGGGGATGGGCTGGAGCATGGAGGGTATGTTTTCCTCTTTGAAAGATGTGATGGGTTAAGGGCCAATTAATTGTCAGTTTTAGTTTTCTTGGCCCCTGACTCATGTCCATTTTCAACTCCAACAGCTTCCAGTATCAATCATACAGGAGCCAAACTCTCCATGAGGCACAGAGATCTCCCCACTGCTCTGAATTTCTAATTTTCTTTCTTTAGTGGAAGTGCAGTCTCTGCCCAGTGTTCTTAGAGGTGCAGGTGGGAGGGAAGTAATCTAAGGGAACCTTGTAAATAATGAACGAATAGGTTCATAGGCTTTTCAGCACCTAGGTTACCCAGTGCTGCCATACATTATGAGGCCAGGGATGGGTAGATGCTGGGGTTGGTTTGCTGGAGAGCTGGCTAGGCAGCTGGGTGAGAGTTGAGCTCTACAAGTACAGAATAGGAGCAAGGGATAACTGGGGGGAAAAGGAGGGAAGGTGGGCGTTCATGAGCTAGTGGATCACAGAAACAGTTAGTTTGGAGGAAGCTCAATTCTAATGCTCCAGAGGCTGTACTGGACTTGTTTATGCTCCCAGATTCACCCAGCCTCAATAGGTGACCCCTACTCTCATCCTCAGCCAGATGCTGAGCACTGCAGTTAGTGCTGCTTACTGGAGAAGTGGGGATAAGGACTAGAATTCAGTGTGGCCTCTATCACACTTGTTGCAGTGAGACTCAAAGTAGCTCCAACACAAAGGTCTGACCCAACCATACCTACCTCCTTAGCAATTGTCCACAGAAGGCAACCTAGAAGCATGGGGGAGTCCATGCCTGGTAGGATGAACTGTGACCAGTGCGAAACAGGAGACAGGAAGGAGAAAGCAGATGAACTCCTCCTCTTTCCTACCTTCCTTCCACCCTCTTACCATCTGAGCCACCATCATTCCATATAACTTCTTCAAAGACAACCTGGCCTCTAAGAAGCTGGCAGTGTTTTCTTATGAGGCTGTATGCACATCTCGTTTTGCCCTCTCACTACCTGGACTCATTTTCCCCTTTCCCTTGCTCTTCCTGCCCTGGAATTGTAAACCCCAATAGAACATGAGTACATAAGCTTTTTCTCATGCTGTTTTCTAGAAAACCTAATGCAGAGTTAATGCAGAGCTTTTTCTCATGCTGTTTTCTAGAAAACCTAATGCAAAGCTAATGCAGAGACCAAGGCCAACCACTGTAACCGGAGGAATCAAGGTAAACAATGGACAACTCAGGTCTGGTGAAGCTGGAGTCAAAATCTGAGGATGTAAGGAATGAATAAAAAGGGGGGAAGGTTCCAATACCATGGATAGCGATAGGAATTCAAGGTTGCTGTCCTGGTGGAGTTTCCAATCGACAGAGGAAGATATTAGTTAAATGCTATTATCACATACATAAATGTATAGTCATAAACTGTGTGTAGGAAGTGAAGGGAAGTTGCATCACATGGTGCAAGGAGAGCCTACAAAAGTGAACTTGATTTAGTCTGGGAGTTCAGTAAGTCTTTTCTGAGAAAATGCCATCTGGGGTGACATCCAAAGGGGTGGGGGTGAGAACAAAGGGAGGCTGCTCCGGGCAAGAGGAATGACAGGACACCTACACAGGCTCTGTGGTGAGGGGGAACATGCTCAGTTCAGGAGAGCAGAAAGGATTTCTCCACAGAGAAAGATGCCTCCCAGCCTTGGTTTTCATACTTAAAAAAAAATTTTTTTTGAAAGAGAGAGAGCACAAGCAAGGGAGGGACAAAGGGTGAGATAGAGAATCCTAAGCAGGCTCCACGCCCAGTGTGGAGACCGATGTGGGGCTCGACCTCACTACTGTGAGATCATGACCTGAGCTGAACTCAAGAGTTGGGTGCTTAATCGACTGAGCCACCCAGGCACCCCTCAGTTTTCATACTTAAAAAAAAAAAATCTCAACCTACAATAAAGAATGTATTTTACATCTTAACCTAGTATCAATACAAATATACAGACAGACATACCAAAATAGAAGTTTCATTACATGATCTTTTTTTTTTTAAATTTTTTTTTAACGTTTATTTATTTTTGAGACAGTGAGAGACAGAGCATGAACGAGGGAGGGGCAGAGAGAGAGGGAGGCACAGAATCGGAAGCAGGCTCCAGGCTCTGAGCCATCAGCCCAGAGCCCGATGCGGGGCTCGAACTCACGGACCGCGAGATCGTGACCCGAGCTGAAGTCGGACGCTTAACCGACTGAGCCACCCAGGTGCCCCTGATCTTTATCTTTATGGGGTTTTCCATAATAGCTGTGAACAATGAAACATGTGTATACTTGGAAAGAGTACTAGCACTAGAACAATGTGCCATGGTGTTCACCACAGAACTGTTCGCAGTGATTTACATACATACGATGAAACATATCAAGGTAGATACGTAGGTACTAACATGGAAAGATGTATGTACTACATTATAAAAAGGTATAATGTATATAATCTCACCCTGATTTGTTAAAAATATTTATATATGAAGAAGTCTATGTGCAGAAAAAGTTGAGAAAAAATATAAACTAGAAAAGGTGGCTATTCCTCAAATTACAGGGGATTTTTGTTTTTCACCAGCTTTTATATTTCATTATTTGCACTTTTTTTTTTTTCAACGTTTATTTATTTTTGGGACAGAGAGAGACAGAGCATGAACGGGGGAGGGGCAGAGAGAGAGGGAGACACAGAATCGGAAACAGGCTCCAGGCTCTGAGCCATCAGCCCAGAGCCTGACGCGGGGCTCGAACTCACGGACCGCGAGATCGTGACCTGGCTGAAGTCGGATGCTTAACCGACTGCGCCACCCAGGCGCCCCTCATTATTTGCACTTTTGACAATATTTGTATTACTCTTTCAATTGGGAAAAATAATGAAAATAAAGTTAAAAGAAAATGACCAAAATACCTTCAGTTGTTCCCTGAGGGTGCCATTATAGGTGAAGTGAGGTTGTTAGTTTACCAGAAATTCAGTGGTTTTGGTTACCCAGGTAGCAAATTATACCAAATTTGACTCAGCTGGCATATTAAGTTTTAGCTTCATGGAATCATTTTTAACCTTGTGAAGCAAAGAACTTGAACAAACCTTAGGTCCGACTTTCACTGGTGCCACTCTCTTCTTCATGGCCAAGAGATTCAAACCTGGGAAGCAGGTGGGCAAATGTCATCAAGTGATCAAAGAACCATGGCGGCTGGGACTGGAGAAAGACATCCAAAGGCGAGTTGCTCTCTTGGGGAGAACCTCCCCAGTTACTGTGCGCCTGGCTATAAGGAGGTGGAAAGTTCATCAGAAGTGGGAAGCTTTCAGTAGCAGGCTTTTGTCCATCTATTACTTGACTGCTTTTGCAAAATACTATAACAAATCTGGAGACGTACATTTGGCCTCATTACTTAGATAAAACAAGACTCTCAAAACTTGAGACAAAACAATGCTGGGCTATTCCACTGCTCTCCCTCCCTCACCCATCTCTCCCTTCAACACTGCATCTCTAACTTTAGATTTTTCTGCTAGGATTGACCTGTCACATGAGATGGACTATATAGCTGTAACAAATTCTCCAGTACATGAGAGGTTTCCCCATAGTATTTAGATTGATAATTTATTTCCTCTCTTCTGGGATAGACGTTTCTCCTTAAAAATACTGGAGAGGAGGGGGATTATAATCCTTGTTTAGATTCTTGAGATGAGGTAAGAGAATAGCAAATCTTTTCAGGGGGTGACATTTAATTTCTAAAAAGGTAATTTTTAGTGCTGACAGGACCAGAGTCTGCTTATCCTACTCTGCCTCTAAATAATAAACTCAGCCTCCACGCACAGAATCATCCTCACCATATAAAATGAGTGAGTGGGAAGAAATCTATATCTTTCTTCCTGTGGAACAGACTGCTTTGGCAATGAGCCCAGTCATTCTGAAGTTCTCCATGATCTGTTATTTAAATCCAACTCATTATGACTGATTTCAGGCAGGAAGCCAAAATGACAAGACTGACTAAATACGTATTTTTGTTTTTTCCATTCTGTCCCTTCTTTCCGTCTCTAGTTTTAACACAAGTGCTAACTCCGAGGTCAGGATTAGAGGTATAGACACCTCAACATGAGCACTCCATTAATGCAAAACCAAGTATTCCAAAGGGTCTTTTGGCTGCAAATGAGATGGGATGACACCATATTCTGAAGTAGATAGCAGCCAGGCTTAACTCCAAACCGCCCATGATATTTAACTTAAAATATTCTGTGCCGCAGTTTAAATTCCAACTCCCCATGGCTGCAGACATCCTCAAAAGATATCATATTCATCTTTTGTCTCCAGTACCTGGCACGGGATCTCATGGAGGTATCCAATAAATGTCTTCTGAATGGAACTTTTAGGTCTATAGGCCCATGTTCTATTTTTTCTTGCATTCTACAACCATGGTTGTTCAATCACTTCTTAAAGCTCTTCTATGTTTGCTTATAGTTCTTTTACAATTTTATCTGTGTTTAACCCATCTGGAATTTATTTTTGTGTACAGCATGTCAATATGATTCTGCCTCAATATGAAATGCCACTTTTAACACACACTAAATCTCCAATGATTTTGTTTTTGTTTTTTTAAAGTAGGCTTCACACCCAGGGAGGAGCCCAATGTGGGCTTTGAATTTATGGTTCTGAGATCAAGACCTAAGCTGAGACCAAGAGTTAGCCGCCTAATGGATTGACCCATCCAGGCCCCCCAAATCCCCACTGATTTCGAATTGGTTATTCTACTGTTTTGTTTATCTCTTCCTGTGCTATTACCATACTGTTTAAATTATGGCAGCTCTTGACTATATTTTATATCTGGAAGGACAAATTCCCTCATATTATTCCCTCATATTATTCTTTTAAGGTATTGTTTTGAATTTTTTTTACATATTCTTCCAAATAAGTTTAATATTTTTTAATTAAACTGTAAAAAAAAATTTTTTTTTAATTTTTGAGAGAAAGAGAGGGGCAGACAGAGAGGGAGAAAGAGAATCCCAGGCAGGCTCTGCGCCATCAGCACAGAGCCCACTGTGGGGCTCAAACTCACAAACTGTGAGATCATGACCTGAGGTGAAATCAAAAGTCGGATGCTCAACCGACTCAGCCACCTAGGCACCCTGAAATAAGTTTAATTTTTAGCTTAAGTTTAAATACACATACAAACAAAAGCAAAGCTGATTAGAATAACTAGATTTCTGCCAAAAGTAGACATATATAATAATTTTTGGAGGACTCATTTTTCTACAATACCATGTCTTCCAATCCAGGAACACGGTATGCCTTCATGCTTTCTGCTTTATTTTATATTCATTAGTAAAGCTTTACACATTTTGTTCATACTGATCTTGTACATTGTAAGATTATTTCTAGATATTTTACAGTGTGTTGTTGTAATAAATGGGAACTGTTTATTCCATCATATTGTCTAACATGAGTAAGGAAAACTGGATTTTAGGGAACACTTTATATTCAACTATTTTTATTAAACTCTTTTATTAGGTATGTACTCATCCAATCAACATTTATTGAGTACCTGTCACATGCTGGTATTAAATACAGGGTATTTAAGTATGGCACAACACAGATATATATTATGGAATATACTTTGCTCTAAACCTTCCCCTGCCCCCTCAATAGCTTAAATGAATAAAACTTTTATTTTTCTCACCTAACGTGAAGTCCAGAGTAGGCAGTTCAGGGCTGTAGTGTGACTCTACAATGCCAAGATGGATTCAGGAACTTTCTATCTTTCTGTCCAGCAGTCGCTATTGAGTGTTTGTCACTGTCTGACCTCCAGCACTTCCGGCATTCTGTCTGCACTCCAAGCAGGAAGGAGGGCAAGGGTACCAGATAAGGAAAGTATGATAGCTGGTCCTGATACCCACTGTTTCTAGCCTTTCTAGAATCCCACCCCATGACTTTTGCCTACACTCACTGGCCAGAACTACACCACATAGCCACATCTGCGTCCATTAGTCACATTATCGCCCCCCCCTCAAATCAGAATTCTTTTAGTAAGGAAGAGGGGGAGAATTCTGAATAGGCATCTAGGCAGGCCCTGCCATGACAAGACAAATTCCTGCCCTTAGGGAGATGTTCAAAGAATTTATACCCACTGGTAATCTGATTCAGTTTGGGGCTGTTAATACAGTTTTTTTTATTAAAAATTTTTTTTCTTTTTTTTTTTTCAACGTTTATTTTTATTTTTGGGACAGAGAGAGACAGAGCATGAAGGGGGGAGGGGCAGAGAGAGAGGGAGTAACAGAATCGGAAGCAGGCTCCAGGCTCTGAGCCATCAGCCCAGAGCCTGACGCGGGGCTCGAACTCACGGACCGCGAGATCGTGACCTGGCTGAAGTCGGACGCTTAACCGACTGCGCCACCCAGGCGCCCCTGTTAGTACAGTTTTATGCTGCCGATTACCAACTGACACTTCCAGCCTAGCTCTCTTCCCTGAACTTCAGAAAGAGCCTGAAAGAGCCAACTGCTTATTTGGCATCTCCACTTAGATGTCTAATAAGGATCTCAAACTCAACTGGTCCAAAATAAAGTCCTTCACCCAAACCGTCCAACACAGTCTTCTCCATGTCAGTAGATAACAATTTCATCCTTCTGGTTGCTTAGGCCAAAAACTGTCCTAGACTCCAGTCTGTCTTACATCTTATATCCAATACACCAGGAAATCCTGTTTGGCTCTGTGTTCATCTTCCAAATATATCCAGAATCCCACCACTTCTCACCATTTCTACCACTAACATTCTTGTCCAAGCCACCGTTATTTTATGCCTGCATTACTGTGACAGCCTCCTAAAATCATTATCCACATAGATAATTCTTCCTGAAGGTTCAATTCCCTGACTTCCTCTTTTTAATGTTTATTTATTTTGAGAGAGAGAGAGAACACGTGAGAATGAGCAGGGGAGGTGTAGAGAGAGAGCGCGAGCGAGCGAGAGAGCAAGCGAGAGAGAATCTCAAGCAGGCTCCATACTGCCAGCACAGAGCCCAATGAGGGGCTTGAACTCACAAACCATGACCTGAGCTGAAATCAAGAGTTGGCTGCTTAATCCACTAGTCACTCAGGAGCCCCTTGACTTTCTCTTTTCTAATGATCTTATCCTTGGTCTTCTACCGCTGCTACTTATTCCTGTGATCATCCCCCCCCCCCTTTTTATAATTACCAAGCACTGCAACCCTGAAAGCTGTAACTTCAAAGTTAAGCTTCCCACTGTTGATGGCCACTCTTTCACCCATTATGTCCTCTGTTACCTCCACTCTAACATTCCTCCAACTCCATCAGGACCTACAATCAATCCTGTGCTTTTTCACTGCCCCTCATTTTCCCATTACACTCTTTCTTAAGGAGTTTAAATTCCATGGTCAACAATTTTTTTGTCCACATTCCCTCAACTTCCTTGCTCTTCTCTTCATTTTACTCACTTGGCAAACTCCCAAACCTGATTAGATCCACCTCACCACCTGTGCCCATCCAGCTGATGTGGTGGAAGAAAATTATATAAGCAAGTGCACTGATCTTCCACTTGCCTGACCCTTAACCTGCAGTGGAACATTTAACATTGACTGGAAGTCACACTCTATTTCCCTAGGCTTTTCACTCTTTTCATCCTTTTCTCTCCTTTTCCTTTCTTCTCACACCTCCAACTCTCTTTACCCCTGATCTTCAGGCTCCTATGATGACCTTCCTTTTTATTTCAATGAGAGAAATAGAAGTGACCCAAGGAGACCTTCTATGAGCTTCCATCATCATGTTCTCCTCCCTATGTCTGGGCCCATGCAATCTTCTCTCTTTTAAGATGGACACACTGTTTGTATTCCTATTTCAGACCAGTCACTGTGTACTAGATCCCACCCAGTCTCATCTACTCAAGTGGATCATTCCAGCGATTCCCCTCGGTCTCCCGTCTCAAATTTTCCTGTTTTACTAGCTCATTTCCATTTGTACATATTATTATTTCTTCTTAAAAAAATACAAAAACTCCCTCTGGACTCCATTTCCCCTGCCAACCACTATACGATTTCTCTTCTCGCTTGACAGCCAAACCTCCTGAACAAATTGTCTATTATTCAAAATCCCCAATCTAACTCCTCCCACTATTTACCAATCCCATCAGGCTCTCACCCCTACCATTTATCAGAAACAACTCTTGTTAAGGTCAGCAAAGTATCTATCTAGTTAACTTCTGGACATCTTTCACATTTCAGTGAAACCCCTCCGAAACATTTTTTGACATTTCTGACTAAGTAAACCACTCTATTACATGCTAGCTATCATATTGCTTATCCTCATTGTAACTTTACATTTGCATGTGATTTCTCAATTAAAGATTCTTTTTTCCTCAATGGACTCTAAGCTCCATAAGGGCAGGGATAAGGTCTATTCTCCCATCATAACTGTATGGTCAGTGTCAGGAGGACACCAATAAATTTTGGGAGAATTAATGCTGTATTACAATCATGCCCATTTTAAACTTGGGAAAAGGAGGCCCAGAGAAGTAAAGATACCAGCTCAAAGTCACATTGTGGATTATCAGTAGGATAGGGACTAGGATTAGTTGAACATACTGATCACCAAGAGCCATGCTACTTTCTAGGGGTACATGATGAATGAGACATGTCCCACTTTTCCCAGTGTAGGCCTTCTAGAGCTTCCACCATGTTTGGGCTGGAAAGGACCAGCCATGCAACCCAGTTCAATATCAAGCTCTTCTTGTGTCTACACAGGCTTAGGTACCAGGTCAACAGAGATGCTTCAAATGCTCTGGTTCCTGCATTTAAAGTGGCCAACGAGAGGACTTCTTCACCAAAAGCATCTGTTTGACCATATATGGTGATAGATGTTAACCAGATTTATTATGGTAATCATTTTGAAATATATGCAAATATCAAATCATGTTGTACACCTGAAACTAATATGATGTTATATGCCAATTATGCTTCAATTAAAAAAAAAAGCATTTTTTTTAAATTACATTGCAGGCTTCAGAATAAGACCCTTTGGGTGCATATCGCTCATCACTGATCTACAAATTATGAACCAGGAAGAACACTGGAAGGAGTAGGAAGGTCAACTTAAAGTACAACATTAAGATCCATTGTCTCTTAAAGACCAGTAACAGAGAGAAAAGCATTTCAGAAATGAAACTGTCAGGAAAACAGGCCTTCAGTTATACAACTTTTAAGGGACCTACTGCCTTAAAAAAAAATCTACGTACAACAGTTGGAAGACCGCATATTTTGAGACTGGCAAACTACCAGGCAGAACTATCAATAAATGCAGTCCAATTTATTGGACTTTGTAAGGGACTTTGTAAGGGACTGTATTACTAAGGTGATCATATGACTTATTATGCACAACGGGACAGTTTGGGAATAAAAAAGAAGCACTATTAAAAATCATACCAGGACAAATGAGTATTTACTAGGACTGTTCCAGGCAATAAGCGCAGGACTGGTTACCCTCTTTAGGAACCATCTTCCACTCATTACACATGGAGAAAACCAGGTATTCATTCAGTCATGCAAATGACTCCATTAAGCAAATCAGCCAGGGCAGCCAGAATGGACAAAACACCAGTCTAGTATGGGCTCTATTTAAACAATTTTGACCCTGAATGGGCATGCTAATACTCACCATCTCCACTGAACAAAAACAGAGTTAAGAGTCACTTGCTTTATCTACTTGTTTTTCTTGCCCCTTCATACCTGATCTATAGTCAGTCTTTAGGAAGGCCATTTCTTCCCCCCCTTTGAAGTTTAATCTGAATGCTTAAGAAAGAATATTATGCCCTTCTGTGGTAAGCAAAGTCAAACCGAATGCCATCCTTCCAATTTCCAGAGGCTTCCCATATGTGCCACATCTTTAATCAAGATGTACTCCTAGGTCATTCACTGAGTTAACATAACAAAAACAAGGTCACCAGCCACAGAACTTTATTGTAGGGGTCGATACATATATCCTTCTCAGAAATGCTTTGAGCCATTCACTTGATGGTTATGAACACATCAGGATCTAATTGGCCTATTTTTTATTTACTTGGCAAGAGAAAATCATGAATCAAGTCCAAAAGACCTGATTTAAAAAAATCTGTAAAAAAGGGAGGGCGAAACACTGCCCATCCTTCTATGTCAAGAAACATCGTACAATTCAGATGAAGAAAGCAATTCCATACAAGTCCAGCAAGGCAAGCTGGCGAGTAGAAATGAAACAATTTGTTATACAAAATGCAAAAGGAGTCTAAGATGAAATACAAAAAATAAGATTTGGGTCAAAAAATCATTTACTAAGTAAAGACCATAAGGATGTCTATTAGTTGTTTTCTTTAAGGGGAAAAGAAATTGAGCTGTTACTTTTCTATTTATTCAGGAAGAAAAATAAGGAAAGCGTTTGAAAAATACTTCTGATATTGAGTGAATTCTTTCTCACCTGCTACCTAGAATTCACAAACATCTGACTTATTCTTGCCCACCTGTAGAAATGAGGAAATAAAATCAGTATTTGACTTTTAGTACGACACTCACAACACCCGAATGAGGTCCAGAGTAATCCTAGATCGGGGGATGTCAATGTTGAGTACTTGGACTTCCACTCTTTCTCCAGGGCCCAGTCCAAGACTCCTTCTCTTCTTTGTTTTAGAAAGTTTTGCTTCTGTCACATTTCGTATGGGAATCAGCCCTGATCTCCCCACTCCTATATCTACAAAAATTCCAAACAGAGTGGCATTCTCGACTTTGCCTGTGAGAACTGTCCCAACCTGCAGGTCTTCCAAGCAGACTATGCTTCTCTTGAAATCAGGTTTATCAAAATCTACAAGGAAACGGGAAAAAAAGACAGCGTAAATAGTAGGTCCTGTACCTCCTAGACACAAGATGCATTAGTAAATAAGTATTTACCACGTGTCAGTTACATGCTGGACCAGGAGTAAGCATTGAGAGGGGCCATGAAAGAAGCTGAAACCCAGGCCTGCCTTCAGGGAAAATGTATCTCAGCTGGAGAAGCAGCATTCGCATAGTAGTAACGGTCAGGAGAATTTACCTTTTTTCTTTTTTCTCTCCAAACTCTATCTTGCTAACATGCAAACATTAGTAGTACACACAAGGACCGAGAAGAATAGAGGGTCTTGTGTTCCTTTTTATGAGGAGGTGATGGGAAAACATCTTTGTTCAATGAATACGCAAGGCCAAATGACAAACATTGAGAAAAGTAAGATCTTCCCCGACAGAAGATGGGGAGTTTTCCCCCCAGTTCCTGAATTCTCAAACTGTTTACAGGTGGTAGAAAGTATGTCAACATTTGGTCAAGTGTAGATGAAATTAAAATGCTCTCCTCTCTCATTTCCCTCCATGAATTTGGGATTCACGAATCAATTTCCATCCATTTTGAATATATTAACCCAATCAAAAACTTAATAGATTCTTGACTATCTATGGCTCAGAAACCCAGATCGGCCAGTACCTAATCTTCTTTCTCCTCCTTCAATTCAATTCATCAAACATTTATCAGCTCCTGTCCACACACTCTGCTGGGTGCTAGAGCTACAAAGATGAAGACACACAGATCTCTGCTCTCAAGTTCCTTACAGCCCTCTTTTCTTGTTCGCCCCGGTGTATGCGTACAGTGTTCGTTAACACCATCCTCCCAAAAAGTGGGTATTAAGCGTGCCAAGGAATCATGGCTCTAGTAAAAACAAAACAAGAACAACAACAGAGGTTTCATGAGGGAGAAGGGTAGAAATAAAAGTCTAAGTGGGACTCTGGGGTTATCTGTGGATTCCATTTTCCCATGCTCTTCTTGGCCCCCTTTCCTAGGATTACTGAATGTTGATTCTAATAACAAAGAACATTCTATGCTTGGATCTCCTTTTACCAAGGCCTCATTTTCCCTCCACCCATCCCACTTCCTTTTCCTCCACAGCTGTTGGCTTGATCCTGATTACTTGTTAAAGCTATCCTTTACAGTTGTACTAACAACTGGCCACCTCTTGGTTCCCCTCCCCCAGTCCAACCATCCTGAAATCAAGTTTGTTTTTCTTTTTTTAATTTACCTTTTGCCTGTAAAACAAAAAAGCCCTCTTTAAACCTCAAATCTCATTTTCCTCATAAAAAAGGAATATGCAAAAATGAATTGATTCTTTAGATTTTCCCCTGACACCGAAGCAGTGGATTCCAGAAGCAAGAAACCTGTTGTAATATTACACTGGGCAGCGACTGTGTCAAAGCAAAGTGAAACTGAGTCATTGATCAGGATCAGAGGTAGGATGGTCTTGAGGTCTCATGGCATTGTTTTTATGCTTGGAAATTCTTTTTTCTTACAGAGGTTCAGCTGCCACAGATTCCCCCAAGGGTTCCTGATCAGCTGCTTAGTTTAATTTTGCATGGAAAATCAGAGTCAGGAACTACTTAACATGTTCCTGAAGACAGCCTGGGCCACTGAGAAATCAGAAAATCCTCCATGTACCAGGCAAACATTAACACTTTGATGGCCAAGCCTACATAGTCAGTCTCCTGTCACCGGGCTGCTTCTTTCAAACCCAATTATAGGAACTAACTAGCAACCAGAGTGTTAATAGAAATAGAACTGATCACGCCACTGAGAAAATAGAAGATGGGATGGGTACAGGGAAAGAATGTGGCATCAAGGAAGGGAATATTTTTGAGAAGACGAAGAAAAGAAAAAAGGTAACATTTATAAATACTGTAATGAGGAAATATCCAACATACTAACTGCCTCTTCTCAAGTATGACTGTTTGCCTTCCCTCTTGGGGATATTTTTAGTATTAAAATAAAAGTTTTCAGACATTTTGAGAATTGTGACTTACACTAGGGCAAAGGTCAATTCCAAAGTGAGTTAAAAAAAGAGACATTTAAAATTTCACTTGTCACACTGATAAAACACTGCAGTAACTGGTAAGCTTGGTCCAGAGCCCAGGTTTTCTGCTCACTAAGGGCATGACAAGGTGAGGACCTCTACTTAGCAGTTGGTTGTTTAACTGAACCATATAATCTGAATGTCGATCTTTGCTCTTAGTCTACAATGTAACTAGGATAATGGAGCAATCAACACCAAGACAGAAAAATGAAGACGGACAAGAAAACCCAGTACAGGAGGCCTGCAGCTAGAGAGAGAATAGTTCCCAGTCTTCTATATGTGGTGGTCCTAGGCATACCAGCCTCGTATCCCACCAGGTTTGAGAACTGCTGCTCTCCCTGGTATCCTGCTAAACAACAGAGAATTCACATACAAGGACATCAGGACTCCAAATGAAGGTGGATCTGTCTACTGAAACATCCACTTTGGACGGACCACCCTGGGGTCGCCTACATTTTTGTAATACATCTTACTGTGTATTTTTTCTCTAACTTAAAAAAAAAAAAAAAGTAATTTCTGATTTACAGAAAAGTTGAGGGAATAGTATAACTCACTGGGTGAGTTTTTCTTCTTTTTTAACTTTATTTATTTTTTAGTAAGCTCTATACCCAACGTGGGGCTTGAACTCACAACCCTGAGATCAGGAGTCACTTGCTTTTCCGACTGAGCCAGCCAGGCACCCCTTATTGGGTGTGTTTTTAAACTCCTTTAAACCTTTTCAAAGAAGCATGTCTAACCCCCTCAACAGAGCCTAACTCAGACTGAAAAGAGTCAAGCCCTAAACATGGTGTCATAAAACTGGTTATGATACAGGTACAGATTCATTTAAATCTGTGCTTCCTATTCAAACTTCTTTAGGAAGTAGGTCACTTGATCCCTTAATTCTTTTTCATCGGGTCATTGCTCTCAACAACTATGGCTGTTCCCTCACCATCTACCTATGCTGAAAACTGAGAGCGCTTTTAATTAGAAGGAAAATCAACAGAGAGATAGTATCTTATTTGTTCAGTGTGTTCGCTGACACAGAATCCAGTAACCTGGAAGGCTGTAATTTAGGAAGATTCACTTTTTAGTTTATGAACTGAATGCCTCACCTTGGACTTCTGGCTCCTACGAGATAACAGCTTACAAAAGGATTATGAAAAATGTGTGCCTCCATGCACACAGCAGCCAGTGTGTGATGCATTTAAGTCTAGTGTGATGGAAAATAAGCATGGGATAAGGAGTGGGAAGACAGAGCTTCTAGCTTTGGCTCTGGATACTAACTACCTGCAATGACTTTGAAGAAAGGTCACTGTGCTTTAGTTTCCACACGTACAGAATGGAGAATAATATCCGTTTTTGCTTATGGCAGAGGTTTGTTGTGAGGGCCACGGGAGATAACGTGAGCTATACAAGTAAGAGGTGCTGTTATTCACGTTTAATTATTTACCTGTTCGAAAGTCAAAGCTCTCAGGCTGGCTGAGACCATCTATGATGACCTGTAAGGTGTGAACTGTTGTTTGCAAACTTTCTGCAATTTTCTCTATGCCCTCCTTTTCAAGGAACGAATTTATTTTTTGCTCCATTTCAGGCTTTCCAATCTCATACAGCGTCCCTCTGATGAATGACAAAAACCTGCAGGGACAAAAAAAGCCCAACACTTATTAATAATATTACTTATTTTCCAAATATTACTTATTTTTCAAAGAGGTCACCCTAAAATTCATTCATCTCAGATCCATGTACCATTAATCAACCAATCAGTCTTGATTGAATATCTGTTATGTGTCCCATGCTATGATGAATGATCTATCTTGGAAAAAAAAAAAAAAGAGGAGGCGATAAATTTAGGTTCTTGTGCTGTTTCCCAATGAAGCACCTGCTCAAAATCAGGATCAGAAACACTTTACAGTATAATGTTCATTAGAGTTTAGTGTCATATATATTTTCTAAGTAAGGATACCTCAGTTTACCTCACGTTTCCTAAATTTGAGTTAGGAACACTTATTTGAATTTAAATTTGCTAACAGGCAAACAAGAACTGATGCTATCAAAATCCAACAAAATATCCAGTAAGAACTGCCAGCTTTTGACAAATGAATTATTCTTTTCATATGCCATATCACTGCTTTTTACTTTTGTGGCCCCAGGACGGCAGTGTTACCTGTGCAGGTATACTGTCAGCCTACGAATTCTCAAATCTCATTGCCAGTCAAGCTTCACACGGAATAGATTATATCAAGTATATTAAGTATTGAGTCCACAGAAAAAATATGGGAGGAGATATTAAAAAGAAAAAATAACTTTCTTACAAAATGGAAGGGGTAGAGGCAAGTAAGATCTCAATTACATCATCTTAAGATGAATATTATCTTCATATGCTGTATAAATTGTAGTTGCAATATTTACAAAATAAAAATACCTGCCTTTCTCAATTTCCCTTTGCTATGTTTAGCATTCCCTTATTTGCTGCCTCTCAATTACTTAGCTTCCGAGTTCAGTAATAATTAAGAAAAAAGCAAAGGGTTAAGGAATTACCCCCTTCAGTTTCATCTGAATATTGGGCCGTAGCTAACTTTCTTGACAGTTCTTGGCTGGGTATTTTTCAACATCATTAAGTTCCATTTCCTATGATTAATGGCACTTTAAAAATGTCAACACAGTAATCAGACAGATAGTGATACTAATGCCCTCAAATCCTTTCCTCTAAGGATGTCTCTGGAACACAAGAAGGGAAAAAGAAAACTGTTGGAGGCTTGTCTATAATCAGAATTGGGATGTATCCCATTTGGCAGGGTGCTGCATTATCACAAAAGGAATGCTTGTCATTTCCAGTCTCGTTCTGCATTGTTGTGTTCAACCAGAAAAGCCTCTTCAGTGATCATGTGGTACTGATCATCTGGCACCTGGTGGAGAAAGCTCTCTCATCTCTCACTGAGGGCATCTCTTTGGGCCCAAATGTGCCATCTTTCTATATTCCCATGGCTATATTTTTGTTGAAAAACAGATAGATTCCCCAAAATCCAACTAATTCTCTAGAGAGTAGATCTTGGTGAATGGTCTAATGAAAGACCAAGGAATTGGTGCTTGGTCGCTGTCCAAGCTGGTGGCCAGTGAGACCTACACTGTAAGTGTGTGTGTCCATGGCTTCTCCAGCCCACCAGAGAGGTAGCCAGTATCTGCTGGTGCTGTTGGACAGGCAGTAGCACGTAAGGGCCCTGGTGACAGGGAACAGCTGCTGAAGCTGACTGACGGGACAGGTGACCTATGACAACTTCTGCCCACAGCCAACTTTTGTGCACAACTTTCTAAATGATGCATATGCCCTGCTGAGCAGGCTTCCCCGGTATTTATCCTCTTGGCTTGATTGGTCTGTAACTAGTTATTTAGTAGAACATCTTTCAAATCCTCAAGATTCTGGCTTATAATCACCATTAAGATGCCAAAGCATATTCATGGGCTGTAAATCTATAACTTTGAATGGCATTTTATAATTAATAAAAGTAACTAAATGGCAGAAAATTTCCAAAGCACTGTACAAGTCTTGGCCTCAATAACAAAAACACTGGCTTAGGAGGCTGCTTGGAGTCTTAAGGTTTTGTGTGTGTGTGTGTGTGTGTGTGTGTGTGTGCGCGCATTGTGTGTGTACATGCGCGTGCCCATGCGCGTGAGACTCAACTGCTTCCAAAGCCACTTCCATATAAAGAATTCTGTTTATAGTGGTTGCAGATGTAAGAAGAAAATTGGTCTGTTTAACCTGGGTGCATATTTCATATATCATTTTCATTCTCACACCAGAAGCCCGAGGGCACTGGTAACTGAAATCAATAAAAAAGTACTAAATTATGCTCCTGGCTAATGTTTCGTATTGATCAATCCTATTTTTAAATGACTATGGAACAAAGTCAAATGCTACTTTATTTTGACAACTTTCTTAAAGTTACAACAGGGTTGATGAAAAAGGAAAAATAGCAAATAAAAGGGGGACTGTAAAATGAACTGGGAATATAGCATTCAGACTGATTGCTCCCCTCCTGGATTTCAAATACATTCAACTGTAAATGATAGGAAACAATGTTTTACAGTTGGTAATCATTCAATAAATATGTGTTCTTTAAATAGCCTAAGAAAAATTTATTCTACATATTCTGAATTTTCACCCTGGAGTTGAATGTGGTAAGTAACATGTAATACAAAGTTTCATTTTAGAACTGGATAGGCTAAGTAATACTCAATACAAAGTACTTTCTGCCTCAAAAATACCATATAAAAACACACTGCCTTTTATGAAGCCTGGAACACAGAAAGGAGGTGAACGTGTACTAACAAGTAAGTGCCAGGAATTACGCAAGTGCTCGATCGATGTGCTCATTTAATCCTGACAATAATCCTAAAGGCTAGGTGTCCTATCACACAGAAAAGGAAAACTAAGGTTCAGGGAAGTTAAATAATTTGCCCAAGGCCACAGAGCCATTTTCACTGACTGGAGTTTCATGCTGTACACATCAGCGTGTATCTGTTTATAACTGCAGTCGTGTCAAAATAAGGGATATATATAAAACATAATACTTCTGGTAACATTTCACCAACATGATTTAATGGCAGATTAGTTTTACACATGAGACAGCTAATACTGATAAATCCCACACAGAAATTATTACATACATGCATTTATTTAGACAATTCTCTCAAACGTGAATGAGTTATTAAAGTCACAGTGTCATTTTCTCCACTGTCTCTGGAAGGCTTTTCAGTTTGCTAAGGACTGCCATCAGAGCTGCTGTTTTTATTTAATATGAAATTTCATCCATCTTACTTAAGTAAGAAAGTAGCATAAATGCAACAAATAAGCACATCATGTTCTTTTAGCGCACATCTGCACAAAGTTAAAACACAGACCTTGCAGCAGAGATGATGCTTGCTTTTCAAGCAGAATGCTTATATAACCTAAAATCGCTGATATTTGCAACAGAAACTTGTTACATACTCAAGGGTTTTCCTCTCACAGAGTTAATCTTTGCAAGATTTTCCCCCAAAGAATAAGAAATTCTTGAGACTTGTAAGACTTCAGATATATCCGTTCAGTTTGGGAGCCGGGGACTGGCGTTGTGGCATTAAAGCACCACGGCACTCCACGGAGCACAGAAGAACCATGGTGATGCAAGTCAGTCGCTTTAAAAACAACTTGCTCTTAGCAACAGGCTCCTAGCCTGTGTGTGGGCCCAACACACAGGCTTCGCAATTTCGCAAAGAGCCAGGCTGCAAGGGCTGAGGGCCTGAAGTCGTCTGTCCACTCTCAACATTTCCAAGAGACTTTAGTACTGGTTTATTTTTATCCATTCGTTTGACTCAGTTGCAATTTTATCAGTAAACAAAACATAAAATGCAAGAGCATGGTCATTTTGTAAGTGAGTAGGTACAGACAAAGCAGGCCGTGATTTGTAATTCAGGGAGATGTTCAGTGATTTAAAAGGAGAGCTTAGGGGCGCCTGGGTGGCGCAGTCGGTTAAGCGTCCGACTTCAGCCAGGTCACGATCTCGCGGTCCGTGAGTTCGAGCCCCGCGTCAGGCTCTGGGCTGATGGCTCAGAACCTGGAGCCTGTTTCCGATTCTGTGTCTCCCTCTCTCTCTGCCCCTCCCCCGTTCATGCTCTGTCTCTCTCTGTCCCAAAAATAAATAAACGTTGAAAAAAAAATTAAAAAAAAGAATAAATAAATAAAAGGAGAGCTTGTACTCTAGGAGAAAGCCCAACATTCTAACTATGATTGTAGAGTAAGTGGTGGGACACAAATGAAAGTTCAGAAATAATTTTTTATGCCAATACCACAGGTTCTATGTGTATTTTCAAATGTACTGCTCTTAATATTAAAGACCAACTATAAGTTCCACTGTGGCAGAAAAGAAAGACCCGGGACTCCTTTCACACTACCTACAGGAGCTGCATCTACACAGGTGGGCACACAGCAGTACACGCTTAGTTCAGCTTGGAGGGAGGGTGCCAGCTTTACCGCATATGCTGTGTCAGCAGCCATGTCAAAGGGGCAGCAATGTGAGTTGCGCCTTAATCATCAATTGTCTAACCTCTGTGTTAAACTGAGACACTGAACTGGTCCAAAATCCTTAAAACTCTTTGCTGGTGCAAAATCCATGAGTAATGGTAAATTCAAGTACAGTGCGTTTAGGGAGAGGCCCACAGAATCTACTGTATTGGAGAAGCTGGTAGGTAACTGAAGATAACCCTTCAGTGGCTTTTCTTAGCATGTGATCAACCAGAGAAACTTACCGCAAGCAATTTTTTCACAAGAACTTACAACCAACTGGCTTCTGAGGCCTGCAGATAAACTTTTAAAAAATGTAACCCTTTCAAGAAAGGATACAGGAATTGCTCTGAAAGCCCTTACGGACTTTTATCTAAGAGTAGAATTTTAAATGGTATGGGGCTATCCAGGCGGCAGCCAGGGGCATCTTCGGCGGCACTGGCTTGGTATCAGCTGGCGTGTCTTTGGAGCACCTCTTGCATCTGAACAAACCCTGCATCTGAACACCCCCCTGCATCTATGAGTGGCAGAAATAAAAACAAAAAACAAGAGCAATTGAAAAGGAGCTGTCATAGACTAAGAAGCAGTTTGTCTTCCA